ACTAGTATGCAGATCCAGTCGCATGACTGCTATGGAAGACCAAGTGTCGTGATTGTCCAAGGTACTTGAAGCATAAGAAATGCAACTACAATACTGTCGGGCCCAGTACGAAGGAAAGGTCCGGACATAACAGAGGGCCAGTTCGAAGTACTAGTACACCGTTAGCTGACCAGTCAAAGCAAAACACTTTCATTATATCGTGTCGGATGTTGGATGCGTGTACAGTAGTGGGGGGTGTATGTCATCGTTGTCGTCAACACCCTGAAAGAAATTCGAGTGTACAACCAACGATACTGCAGTCGTCTGAGAAAACGTGTGATATAGTGCAGTAGTACGAACAACCAGTTCACACACTGGTATAAAGCAATGGTTTATCCACACTGTACGGTACTATACTCGCGCAATGTCGTGTACCCGAGGCGGGCATCCGGGATCGGACCAATAAACGTCTTGAACGCGGCATGGGGGGCGACAAGTTGATCACGTCCAGCACTTTATGGAGGGAACGTAGTCGGGTGGCCAAAGTGGGGATAGGGAAATACCTGATCCAAAAGTCGACCCAGGAGTTGGCGGGGGGAAGGGGGGGCAGTTGGAACCCGTCGCGGGTGAGGGCGTCGTGAAGAGTATGAATCATTTCCAGTCAAATACTCGATCACTACTACTGTAGTTTGTATGCAAGATGTGATATTTCAGATTCCATTCCGACAAAATTGTCGGAACCAACACAATAGCAGTAGCCCTAACCATAAGTCGTCGTGTTTATTGGTCAAAATTATGCAGGATTCGTTTTTTGTGCCATATGATTGGTAGAAGGATGAAACTGAGGTCATTGGTTGGCTAAAATTAGAGTATTGGGGGACTTCAGAAACTGTCACAAAACTTTAAATTATCCGTATACACGTGGAATATTATTGACCGTGTTGTCTTACCAGTGCTTTGAAATTGTCATAGTTTTCACTTTCTGTACATGCATTGTGGATTCGGTACAGATTTCTAGACCCCATCGAATCACGAAACGACGCTATTGGCTAATTTGGCTCTTACAGAAAGGACAAGTATATTCAACCAATCAGAACTCCAGCATGATTCAATATTGATTCGTCGTTCACTGTAGACAAACCGCGCGAATTTTGGAATTTTATAGCGAATTCACAATACTACGAAAAGAGCCTTAACTACGGCGCATTATTACATAGATATTGCCATTGATGTCGGCAGCTTTGAACATCCTCCGTGGTAAGGCTTTTGTCGAGCTTATTCCTTCATTGCCGCTATATTGTCCCAACGTCAAGAATGTATGCGCGATTCCTCTCTGTACGAAGGGGGCCATTGGCGACCACCGTTGTGACTTAAGAACTAGTAGTTGTTGGTCTCAAATGTGAACTATGTTGGTCTCAAATGTGAACTATGCAGAAAATCGTGCAAAGTACTTCGAAGTACTACGTAGTCAGTACTGTGTATATAGTAACGAGTTATAGCAAGTTCATTTCATTCCGATAACAGCATACAATTGAATATGTTTATTTAAGTTGTTTTGAATTATTCAAATAATTCATTCGCTCCGGACGCAGGGTGGAATAAATAATTCAACAGGGCAGTAGGCACAACTAAATAACTCAGTCCATAAGTCCTTGTGAAATGAATGATCTTGTTTTCTCTTAGTAAAAAATAGTATTTTCAATTGTCTTGTCTTCAACTTGATGTGGTGGATTTGGATGCACATGGATGACGACGACGATACCGGTATCGAAACCTCCATCGCGGGCACAATGAGGTTATATCGAGGTCAGCTCACAATGAAAGACACTATCTTACATGTGAATATCTCATGACTCCTCTCCACAGCACTTGGATGACTCGCCTTTGGATGTCATTGCTCAATTTAATCGCCCACAACAACCACAACACACACATCACCATGGTTAAAGGAAACGCGATCAAAGAAGTCGTCACTGTCGCTGTGCTTGCCCTGGGCGCTGGCTCGATGGCGACGTCGGAACTCAAGTCGTTTGATGAGTCATTTTTTACAGCAACCATTCCATTTATCCGTAAAACGTTATCCTGGTAAAATACGACACTGTCGACACAAATTTGTTGTGTTATGGTTGGAAATCGTAATGCAAGCTCCACTACCTTCATTATTTTATCCAATGAATGAACGTTATGGTTTTGATTGGACATAAATACACTGTGGCTGACATACTTGTGCCTCGTAACCTTGGAGAGGTGCAGTCGTCGACACAATATGCCCACAAGGCACACATGATTCCAAGGGTATCATTATGCGATGGACGAGTTGGTGGTGGTATACATGATTATAAACTTTGCATCACTTGTGTACGTAATTACTACAAATAAACACGTAGCATGAGGAGATGAGTGAATTGGTTGCTCCTCTTAGCATCAGCCATCCTCCAAAGCCTTCTTGCACGCCGATGGGACCCCAGCATCAAATGATACAATCAACTGTCACTGCCACACATCGTAATCCGTTTTCACACAACTTAGAGTGTATTTGATGGGAGTGGTGGCGAGATGCGCAGTGCCGGTGGTCACAAGCGCTGCGCATGTCATCACCATACCACCAAGTACCCTTCTAGTGAACAAAGTAGTGTGAAAAACTTGGTGGCCGTTGGTGGTCGATTTAGAGGAAACACAGAGTCGATATGACATGGCTGGTCGTGATGATGTACTTACTGCATGTACTGTACAATGGAGTGATGGGGTGGTCACATGTGCAGCAGTCGTAGTTACTGGGGTAATGTTAACTAAGTTAGCAGGGTTTTTGGACATTATTCTGGAGCGTAGGGGTGGGGTGGTAGTGGTGGGTGGTAATCACTTTGACTGCTAGTCAGTACCACCACTACCCCACCAACGACGCTCCAGGATAACGATAGTCAAAGTCACAACTACCAGGGAACGGTACTCATGATCTCGAGAGTAGAGCTGTATGGTAGTGATTACAAGGTAGCTGTTGCTGTGCTATGCTACGAGAGTAGAAGTTGAGGTAACAGGAGTTGGTTAGGCTGGATGGGTGGGTGTAGGTTGTATGCATTATTTGGCGAGCATATGCCGTGGCCACAGGAGCGGCCGTGGTCGTCGTGGTACAGAGAACCCCGGAAAAGTCCGACCCCCACAAAATATCCGACCACCGGTCTAAATTGATGTAATTTTATTCATCGTCGACGCACCTTTGAAATTGAATTTATCCATCACGAAGCCAATCACAAAGCAGTATTAATGAAAGTTTATGATTGGCCTATTCAAATTCAAAATTTGAAACACTTCACTTGACATCATGCCGACGCGACACCGCAAGAAGTCATACTCCATCGACGAAAAGCGAAAGCTCCTGGCTATGTTCGAAGCCACTGCAACGAGCCATCGCAAGAGAGAACCCCGGAAAAGTCCGACCCCCACAAAATATCCGACCACCGGTCTAAATTGATGTAATTTTATTCATCGTCGACGCACCTTTGAAATTGAATTTATCCATCACGAAGCCAATCACAAAGCAGTATTAATGAAAGTTTATGATTGGCCTATTCAAATTCAAAATTTGAAACACTTCACTTGACATCATGCCGACGCGACACCGCAAGAAGTCATACTCCATCGACGAAAAGCGAAAGCTCCTGGCTATGTTCGAAGCCACTGCAACGAGCCATCGCAAGAGAGAACCCCGGAAAAGTCCGACCCCCACAAAATATCCGACCACCGGTCTAAA